GTTTTTTGTAAATAAATATTTTTAAAAAATCCAAAGTTTTGAATTAATATAATTACACTTTTTTGTGAAAATATTGAATAAATAAATATAATTTGGAGTTTAGTTACAATTTTTTGTATTTATTAAGCACACTAGTCGACAAAGTAAAGGCAGGCGGCAACAGAATCAATAACAATAGTAAAACAGCGCGATGAGCATTTAAAAATTCAGGAATATCATCCGAATGTCTTGACCTTGAAATAATAAAAAATTTTAAATTTATTTTAATTGCGTTGTCGTGTCAATTTCCTATTAATCCTGATCTTTGATAATATATGCTGGAATACTACAAAAATTTACGTCAGCGAGTACAGTTGGTACCCTATGCCTACTTTTATTCATAAAATTCTTACACATGCTGCCAATATTATTCGAAATAGCTTATTACCAGTCGGCATATGTTAGATGAAGAAACTTCAGAAGGCAGAAATAAGGATTATAAACGCTTTCGACTTGTTCATAGCAGGAAATGTTCTCGTCTCGCAACAATAGAAAATATATTTAAACAGAATTATGAATACTTCTGATCCCATTGTATCTACACTTAATCTTAATTCAGAAAAGACAATACAAAGCCATCCCTAAAGAAGTATTCACTTGTTTAACATACCTAATTTTGATAAGTATTTACTTTCTGAATCACGATAAACCAAAAAAGATGACTCAAGGCCTTACAAATTTTTATCAAAGTTTGCATGATACGAAGTTGACTAATGAAGAGTAATGATTCGTAATTATGATTAAATATTAGGTGTACAAAAAAGTTCTGAGCTTTAGATTTGATACAACCGAAATAACAATTTAAATTTTATATATCTTCCCGCCCTTTTGGGGTTTTAAAACAGTAACATTTAACCTCCTGAAATGCGATACGGTTTGGCGTTTGATGCACATAACCTCAAAAATCAGTAGTGTTCACGATGGCAATTACAAAAGAGCATATTCGATTTTCCATCCACTTCGCGTTTCATCTGAAGAAAAATGCTGCTGAAGCCACTGAAATGATTTGTGCTGCATATGGAGAGAACGCTGTAAGTCATGCAACATGCAAAAGGTGGTATCAAAAGTTTCGCCAAGGAGATTTCAGTCTTAAAGATGAATCGCGTGCTGGACGCCCTGAAAAGATTGAAACGGACGAATTGCAAGCACTGCTGGATATAAACTCTGCGCAAACTGAAAAGGAGCTTGCAGAACAGCTTGGCGTTACGCAGCAAGCCATTTCCGTACGATTATAATAAATAAAGATTGAATTTTACAAAAAAAAGCTCAGAACTTTTTTGTACACCTAATACTAATTATTTAACAAGTTTTAAGAAATGTTTAAAATATAAAAATTAAGAAACTAAAATAAAGAAAATTTTTAAACTATATATAAAATATTTAAAAAATTAAAAAATAAAATATTAAAAAAATTTAAAAACATTAAAAAATAAAAAAGTCAACAAAATGGTCGACGCTATGTCCTCGATTTGTGATTCTGCATAGTATGTATAGCAGAAAAAAGTAGTAATTTTCAAAAAAATTGGAGTTTTTTTTTCAAAATTTCATTACATGTTTACTTTGAAGTTAGCCATACTGAATCCGTTATCTTTAATTTAAAAAATAGTAATGTATAATTCGTAATCAACGACCTTAAAAATTCCCGTAAAAAAAATTTCCATGAAAAATTGACTCGTTTTTGTATTTCTAGATTGCCATTTTGGATCCGCTCATTTTAATATTTCATAGGTCATTTCATAGGTTGTTCAGAAAGTAATTTCGTTTTTTCTTATGAAAATGAAAGACGATTTTCAATCAGACGCGTTTCAAATGATCATGAACGGTCGAATTCGATAAATTTAATCTCTCAGCGATCTCACGAGTTGTTATTCGCCGGTTTGCATCAATTAATGAACGAATTACACGTTGAAAAAAATCACTCACGGTATAAATTCACTATAATTAAAAAAAAAAGACACCTCGCGCGGATACAGCAAAGACTGACGCTAAGAAGCATCCTTTGCCATAGAGAGGCTATCTAGGATACATTTGCGTTACATATGAAATACTTAAGATCATTTGCAGACTCTAGAACTAGAGAAATCATTAAAAAAATGCTTAAGTAACGAGGGCTCTCATGTGAGAGAAAGATAGAGCGCGCGACAATGTCAGAGCGTGTAATGTGATATCGAAGAAAGGACGAAAGAAATGAATTCTTTTTTTTATGACACAGTTTTTTCAATACGGTTTTTTACTAGTGTGAGGTATAGGATGGAAAGTAAAAAAAAAATACATATGTAGTAATGCGAATGAAAAATGTTTTATTCACATGTTATTACATCATTCTTTTTTTCATTAAAAATTAAGCTAATAGCTCGCAATCGATGAGCTGACATCCATTGAAGAATTCGCTGTCGCGTATAGCGTTCTCAGTATATTGGAGAATCGCGTATACTTTGCATCAACCGTATCGACGAGTCGAGCTAATCGTTCGAACGTTACACCCGTCATCGATACACCCATCAAAGTCAAACATACGGCGTAGCGTCGTTTCGGTTATCGTAATGCGTACGGATGAAGAATCGAGACGTAGCTCTGTCATATGTGTTTTCAGATACAGATAGCGATCTGTATTGTCACGAGCGTCTGTTACCGAGTCCTACGTTGCATCCTGTACAAAGGAGAAGAGGTGTTGGAATTTAGCTACACATCATTTACGGAGAGAGATTGGAAATTACTGTTCGCGAGAGATTTTATGGATTACAAGCGTGATTCTTGTTGACGATCGCGCAAGAAGGTATGACGCAGCTGTGAAAGGTGTGCAAAAAATCAATGATATTGGAAGGATGTATGAAAAAATTAAATTCGAGACATACCTATAGATAGTTGCAATGAAACGCTCTGGTTCACGTGTAAGCGAGGACAGTAATTTTTTTTTTAATATAGAGAGAGATGGATGAGGAGGTGGAGGATCTTTTTCAACGTGCGACGAGCATCGATACGGCGGATGTGTATTGAGTATGGGAGCAAAAATGCAACGAGTGTCTCGATTTCTTGCGGAAGACGTATCGAAACAGTAAACGTCGACGAACATCTAGCAGAGTTGCAAATGCATCGATCGCTGGACTAGCCCGATTGGAAGGTTTGAGAAATGTTTTATGACAACGTTTTGAACATGTGGGTTCTAGCCATGTCGAATCGCAAAATAGGGGATTTTCGGTTAGAAATCGAAACAGCTTTTAATAATCGCGTATTGACTGGTGTGGTATTGAATTCGAGTTACATCGAACCTCGACAGTTTCTCGATGACGCGAGATATATCGTTCTCGATCGGATACGCGATAATCTTTATAGATACATTTGTTAAAAAGTGAATACGATATTCAACGGTGAGTTCGTCGCGGATGCTATGAGATCTGCTAAAAGTATTGGGTGGTCCGGAAAGTCAGTGCGGATTTTTTCATTAATTTTTCAAAAGTTTTTTTATTTGTTGCGAAATTTTCGTTACGATTATATCATTCGCTAGAGCAAAGTTTCAGCTTTAAGAATCTGTTTTTTAAATTGCGATATGACGATTTTTGTCGGAGTTATGAGCAATCGAAATCAGAATGCTTCTTTACTTAACTCGCGAATAACTCAGAAACAAAAAATTATAGGAACATTTTTAAAAAATGATTTTGTAGGGAAAGCTTTAAGTTTTCACGATGGGTAGTCGAAAATTTTCGTAAATTTTTTTTGGGCACGTGAGAGACCCCCAAAGTGAAAAGAAAATTTTTTATCTTTTTCAGCTCGTAGTTTTTGGTATGTAAAAATTATCAAACTCATATAAACTTAAAAAATGTGATAAGCTTTTAAAAGTAGAGATTTCAAGCTTTAAAACCCTTTTTTTTAATTTAAATTTCGTTCATTTTTGACGAAGGTATCGTATATACAATTTTTCATTGTAAAATCCGCACGGACTTTCCGGACCACCCAATATTACTACGAAAAATTACGAGCTTTTTGACACATCCGATCTGCGAGAGTGGTACGATAAACATGTGACAGATGATATTTTAGCAGCACTGGAGGAATTTCAGGAACGTGACAGTAAATGGACGCTATCACGTATATTGAATCTGATTGTAAATGTTAACAAATATAATCCTATGCATGCGGGATATTAGCTGGAGCTGCCGCGAGAAATTATGCTGAAGAAAGTAGTAATCAATGTGCGTTCGATGGACACTGCATGTTTCGTCTAGTCGGTAGTCGCCGCTCTGTATCCAGTTAAAAATCATATGAATAGGAAATCGTCGTATCCGGATTATACTACTGTGTTGAATCTTCAGAGTATCGAGTTTCCCGCGTTACTTTAAAACAAATTACAAAATTTGAACTTTTGAACGATATATCTATTAATATAATATATTTATCGAGCGAGAGAGAGGTGGGAAAAAAGACAATGATAATATAATCGTTCCTCTTCGTCTTACCAAAGAGAAGAAAGAGAAACATGTAAATTTGTTGTACCTGCAAGAATCAAGACGTGACGACGAAAACGTCATTGGTCATTTCACATGGATTAAAAATCTGTCACGATTGATAAGTTCGCAATTGAGCAAGAATACAAAGAAGAAGTATTTGTGCGATAGGTAGGTACTAATTGTTTTTTTATATAGAGCGATAAAAAAAGTTGTGTAACGTGTATGAATTGTTACTTTACAGATGTCTACATTATTTTCATACGAGCGAGAAGTTGTCGTTTTACATCGTTGACTGTGCTACGACGAACGATTGCGTTATTATTCTTCCGAACAAGAACGATAAGTGGTTAACGTTTCGAGGTCATAATAAGAAGGAGCGACTTCTCTTAGTGGTTTATGCTGATTTGGAGTATATATTGGGGAAGAAGACCAACGATGAAGACATTTCGAGATTCACCTATCAATATCACAAGGTTTTCAGCGTAGGATATTACGTTGTGTACATACGATGAAACTATGTCGATGTACAAATCTCATCGCGGCGAGGATTGCGTATCGTGGTTTGCCAACGAATTATACGATTTGGCGCATTGTGCGAAAACGATATTCGACAAGAATGAGACTATGGCGGAGTTTACATCGAACGTCAAGTGGGAAAAATTTCGAGACGCGACTCACTGTCATATCTGTGAAAGACTGTTCGAGGAAGGAGATTTGCGCGTACGCTGTCATTTAACCGGACGTTATAGAGGTCCTTCGCATTCATGTTGTAATTTACAAAATCAAGATACGTACGTTATTCCTGTATTCTTTCATAACTTGGCAGGTTATGAAGCACATTTTATCATAAAAGATATTGCTAATATAATAGCTTTGCGGGTAGAGTCGACGTGTTACCTATAACGAAAGAAAATTATATATCGTTTACGAAACATATCAAGGATACAATAAACTTTAAGTGGGGAATGGACTGTGTGAAATTGTGTTTTGCGGATTCATTCAAATTTCTCAATACTAGTCTCGAGAAATTGGTATCATATCTCGACAAGAGTAAATTGAAAATTATACGATCAGAATTTTCCAATCTTGACGCTGAGGATTTTGATCTGCTTACGCGGAAAGGAATGTTTCCATACGAGTATATCGACAGTGTTGATAAGCTAAACGAGACTAGTTGTAAACGAGACCACCGCGTGAGTTGTTTTATAATTCGTTGACCGACGAGACTGCTTCCGATGACCATTATCAACACGCGACAAACGTTTGGCGACGTTTTTGAATAGGGAATACTCACGGCGATTACAGTAATTTGTATCTCAAGACAGATGTGCTTTTATTAGCAGATGTTTTTGAAAATTTTCGTGATACGTGTATTGAGAGTTACGGATTGGATCCGACGTATTATTACACTTAAGTGGGGAATGGACTGTGTGAAATTGTGTTTTGTGGATTCATTCAAATTTTTCAGTACAAGTCTCGATAAATTAGCGTCGTATCTCGATAAAGACAAATTAAAAATTATACGTTCAAAATTTCCAACACTATCGGATGATGAATTTGAATTACTGACTCGTAAAGGTATCTTTCCGTACGAGTACGTTGACTGTGCCGAAAAATTGCAGGACACGCGCTTACCACTGCACTTTTTACAGTTCGTTAACGGGCGATACCGTATCCGAGAGCGATTACGCTCACGCGGCGAACGTATGGCAGCGATTCTCCATCCGAACGCTCGGCGAGTACAGTGATCTGTACTTGAAAACCGATGTCTTGTTATTAGCTGACATTTTCGAAAATTTCCGCGAAAGTTGCGTCGCGAGTTACGGTCTCGATCCCGCACATTATTACACCTTGCCTGGTTTCACGTGGGACGCGATGTTGAAACATACGCGTGTAAAGCTTGAGTTGCTCACTGATATTGACATGATCATGTTCATCGAGCGCGGTATACGCGGTGGTCTCAGTCATTGTTCAGGCAGATACGCACAGGCTAATAACAAGTACATGCATTCGTACGACTCGTCGGAACAGTCGTCGTACTTGATGTACTACGACGTTAACAATTTATACGGATGGGCGATGTGTCAACCATTGCCATACGCCAAATTTCAATGGGTCAAAGACGCTGCGAACTTTGACGCGAGCGCGATCGCTCTGGATTCGCCCACCGGTTACATTCTCGAAGTCGATCTCGAGTATCCACAGCATATACTCGTACATGACCGACACACTGACCTACCGTTCTGTCCGACGCGCGATAAGCCGCCCGGCAAAGGCGAACATAAACTTTTAGCGATACTTACGCTGTACGATAAATAGCGTTACGTTATCCACTACCGCAACCTGCAGCAATGTACTCGTCACGGTCTTCACGTAACAAGATCCATCGGGTGCTACAATTCGCGCAATCTCCATGGCTTCGCGATTACATTGAACTTAATACAAATTTCAGAACGCGCGCGAAAAACGATTTCGAAAAAATTTTGTATAAATTAATGGACAAAGCGGTATTCGGTAAAACTATGGAGAATGTGCGCAACCACGTTGACGTAAAATTATTAACAAAATGGGATGGACGGTACGGTGCGGAGGCAATGATTGCAAAACCAAATTTCCACAGCCGTAGCGTCTTTGCGGAAAATTTAATAGCCGTCGAACTGCGCAAACTCGAGGTGAAGTTCGACAAACCGATTTACGTGGGTATGTGTATACTCGACATATCGAAAGTCTACTTGTACGAATTTCACCACGAGTATATGTTACCATTGTTTCGCAATAAATGTAAAATTATGTACATCGATACAGACAGTCTTATATACCGCGTCGAGTGCGAGGACGTTTATGAGACTATGAAACGCGATATCGCTAGATTCGACACGAGCGATTATTCGACGGACAATGCGTACGGTATGCCTCTCGCGAACAAAAAAGTAACCGGTCTGATGAAGGACGAAAATAATGGTGCGATAATGACCGAATTCGTTCGTTGGTCTCAGAGCGAAGATGTACGCTGTGAAGGTGGACGGCAAGAAAGACACTAAAAAGGTGAAAGGCGTAAAGAGTAACGTCGTAGCGCAAACGATAACGTTCGACGATTACACTCGATGTTTGAACGAAGAGATCGAAATGACTCGTCGTCAATCGTATATACGATCTAAACTGCACGAGGTATACACGATATCCGAATCGAAAATCGCTCTGAGTCCATACGATGACAAACGATACGTCGTACCGAATTCGACGGAGACGTTACCGTGGAGACATTGGCGGATATCTTCGTAATATATGTACATATCAACATTTATATTACTATTATGTTTTTTACATTTTTTTTTTATTTTCATACAGCGTATATGTATTACTATTATAAGGTGTAGTAAAAAAAAATCTATTATTTTTGCATTAAATTGAAGGCTTTATTTAGCATAGTTAGAATGATCCGATTTAGGTCAAATATGCACCGTTTTGTTCGATAACTTGTTGGTTTTGAGGTAATTTCATTATGCCTCTCTCATAGAAACCCTCATCCCTATTGGCAAAAAACTGGGACAGTCGATTTTCACAAGCTTCTCTTGGGGCGAATTTTTCACCAGCAAAATCATTCGCCATAGAGAGGAACAGGTGGTAATCACTTGGTGCCAGGTCCGGACTATAAGGTGGAT